TTTCCCTTCCCTGAAAGCCGCCATAGCCTCTCCTCTTTTTCTTCTCTTCTTCTCACCTGCCAGCCAACCTGTCATTATCTATCTACCTCCCCATATCTTCAACATTCTCTCCTTCCCTCCCCCTGGCAGCCTTTGCCTGGAAAACTGTGGTCCACCTGTGTGGTGCTGGCTGCCAGACTGGGCCCTGTTGCAAGGTGGAGAACCTCACTTTCCCCTGTATCTCCCTCCCTGCACTATTTGTTCTTGCCCTCCTCCCAGCAACCTTTCTCTGCTTCCTTCTCTCCTTCCCTCCCACCAACAACCTACCTTTTATTTGCCCCCCATCATTAGCTATATTTACAGTTTACATCATTCTCCTGTCCACCATTTTATCTTCAAAACAAACCTGTGATGTAGACTGAGAATGTGTAACTGGCCCAAGGTCATGTAGTGAGCTTCCAAAGCAAGTGGTGATTTGAACCTGGGTCTCTCAGATCCTAGTCTGGAACTCTAATCACTACACCAGTGGTTGCTGCTGGCCTCCCCTGATGATTCTTCCCTCAAAAACCACAATAGACCTGGAAAGGGTCCTGCCCCCTCTTCCTGCCTTTCACTGACAGAACCGAGGCTTGAAGGTTTGCAGCTGTGTTGTGGACGTCTAGCAACAGCCACTGAGGGCAATAGCTCCTTAAAGCTGCAGTTGTTGCTTCTATCATTTTGGTAGTTTTTAAACCCCTCAATGTTTTTGTTTATTTGTTTTTAGACTTCAGATATTTCTGCGAAGCTGGGGCTGTTCTGCTGTTCGAAGAAATCTGTCTTGTCTGTTCATGGTTCAAATTCCAGAGTTAAGTATCCACAGATGGGGCCACATTAACAATTAGATGTACCAATATGCTTCTAAAAGAGCCTCGTATTTTGCCAGTCTACTAAATGCCCACACTATTTAACAGCAAGGCATTACATTTCACAATGATATTCTGGTTCACAGGTGTCCTGTACTTTATATTATATCTGGGTTTAGTTTCCATAGACATGATTTGAATCCAGACCCCAACAGTATGGGCACCCTTTTAAATACAATGAAGTCAATGGGTTTAAAAGAGTGCGATAGAATTTAGGATTGCACTATAAAATTTTCCAGTTAGTTTCTCCAAGTTCTGGACTATGATAACCTTCTAGGAGGAAGAGAGCATAAAAGCATCTCTGCATGTCCTCACAATTTTTATTCTGATCACAGAAAACCATGTCACGAAGCCCTCTATTCTGAGATAATAATGAAGGTGATTCTAAGAGATGGTACAGAAGAACTCCAAGCCACTTGTAGCTTTCTGTTGTTGGGAATCTTCTTTTGCAACCAGGAAACTACACAAAAGACAAATTCACCACTTAAGTAAATTCTTATAAAGGCAACTTGTCCACAGGGGAATGGTTCCTCTTGAAAAATTTTACTCAGTATTTCAGATTCAAAATAAACATGCCATACATGCCTGGAGGCTAGAAAGATCTTTAGGGTATTTTGTCATATATAAAGATGCAAAGCACTTGGGTTCAGCTTCAGGCAACTATCCAATCCTAAATCCTGAAAGCTGTCATGACATATAATTGATGAAAGTAAGTAGTACTTAGTCTCAGACAAGGGACCGTCACACACTCTCAGCCTAACCTACCTTACAGGGTTGCTTCTGGGAGAGAATGGTGGAGGGGAGAATGGTGCGATAAGCCCACGTGGGGAGAAAACAAGACATAAATATAAAATAAAACAAATAAGCATAAATATTTGCCCTAGCAAACATCCTCACAAAGCTAGTATATTATTGTAGTTTATAGTGCCCCTGGTACTCCCTTATCCAAAAGTGCTTATTTTCTTGTGCAGTAGGTTTTAGAACTAGGTGCAAATCACACCATGAACGAAAAATCCATAGAATGTTGACCTTCCATACTTTTTAGAGCATCCACAGGATGATCTGAAACATGTTCACAAAGAACCCAGTAAGGAAGCATGCTTAGAGCTGCAGCCTAAACAGAAGGCATGTAGGTTTTAAGATATTACTTTAGAAATGAGCAGTGAACTGACTGCAAATTCAACAAAATCTAGTATGATTTATTTTGGCTCTGGCATCTATTCAAATGTGATTCTTGCAGCCACACCACCTACAAAAGGGTCTATCTTCAACATAACTCCCTTTATGCATTTAGGCTACAATAAAGAACACTTCCCTGGGAGAAAACCCTACTGGGATATTACATCAGGTTGCCAACTCATGTTTGGGACATTCCTGGAGATTTGGGGTGGGCTAGGGAGAGTCCTCAACAGGGTATAATGCCATACAGTCCACCCTCAAAAGCTGCCATTTTATCCGAGAGAACTAATATTTGCAGTCTGGAGATTAATTGTAATTCCAGGAGATCTCCAGGTTCTACCTGGAGGTTGGCAACCCTAGTTACCTCTGCGCAGACCTGACAATTGCTCCCTGTATTTTATAAATTATGACGAAATGGTCTGCAGTCAGCTTGCTTTAAAATTCCCACATAGTTTGGGAACTACAAAATACACTTCATAATTTTGGGAAATCACAGAATGGTATACACAGTGCACACTAATGCATACAGGGTTACTTGACTACGTTACAAGCATGAAAACTTTCTTCATTTCTACCATGTAAATACATTGCCATTGAAAAACTGCACACTTGCTCAAAACCTTGAGAAAACTACTTCCAGTCTCTAATTCAACACCAACAGACTTTGAGGCCTGCTGTGGTGGGGGGAGACAGGAATAAGGAAGACTGCCTCAGCTTCACGTATCAAGAGGGCCCACATCCCATAATTACAGAGTAATACAGTGTTCAGGTCAAGTTTAGACCCTGACCTCTAACAATCTCTGGGCAGGCCCTGCATTCCTCTTACACCGTCAGAATATATATATGTATCATTCTGTGATTTGTATCTGTCTGAAGACTTTAATGATATTGCTCTTAGGAACAGTGTCACACTAAAACTAAAAAAAAGAAATGTATTTAATACATGTGTCTACATAATACAAAAATTAATGATTCTTATTTTAATCTATCTGAATACAAAGAGCTTTAACAAAATCGTATCTACAGCTACGGCTAACTTCTGGATTTGGGAGGAAAGGCACGAGAATATCCCTTCAGCAGCAACACCGTATAATACGAGATTTCTTGGTACAATATTAAACGGCCAGTATTCTTGATTCCATAGGCTATCCCAGAGATCAATCTTAAAAAAACCCCACCTAACAGACGCAGAGAAAGGGCCCTATTTCCACACAAACCTAAGTCATACCGGGCTTAAATCCATCTTTAATTACCCCCCAGCAAGAAAACCTAAAGCCATACCGGGTTTAAATCCATCTTTAATTACCCCCCAGCAAAAAAACTGGCAGGCTAGAGGAAGCACTTAACAAAACTGTTCCTAGTGGCAGCCCCGGTATAACGTTGCACCGCAGCCGGGGGGTGAGGGGGGGGAGGATACACCACAGTATCTCCGCCTGGGGAGGGTTACTCACAGCGATAGCCCCCAGACTCAGCCTTCCCCACGCATCATCTGCCAAGAGAGCTGCAGCGAGGCCCTTCTAGCGCTCCCTGATTCATTTGGCTGCGTGCGTCCGCCCGCACAGTTCGAAAGACCCAATCGAGTGGTGCGAGGAGGAGCCAAGACGGGGAGGACGCACCTTACGTGAGCTGGGGCGTGGATGGTTACCGCCTCCGGCCTGGCCCAGCCGGCCTCTCCGGAGTCGGCAACCAGCAAGCTGCTCGGGTAGTGCCGGCAAAGATTCAAATCAAAGCCCAGCAGCAGCTTCCTGCCTTCAGGCGGTTGCTGCTGCTAATGCGGCGTCAAGTGACAGCCTCTGTGGGCTGCTGACAGATTCACCTCTAGGGCTGGAGTGGGCTGGAGGCATTTGGGGCTGGGAGTGGATGGAAGCTCATGCCTGCACAACTTTCGCCTCCGGCTTGGAAGCCTGTTCTCATGTGCTGAAGGGCAGGGAGTGGCAGTGGGTGGCGATGTGTGCGTGTGTTCCTCTATAGCGTTCTTTTCTTCTTAGGCGTTGGAGAATGTCTTCCAGGCAAAATCCGAACACATAAAGGCACGTCTCCGCACAAAGGCTGCTTCACCAACGACAGATTTTTGGTGTGAAGAAATTTGCCCAGTCCTGCCCTTCTTAAATGTCCCATACCTGTCCTGTCACGTTTACTTTTTATTTTAAAAGTGTGTATCTCGCTATTTCCACCTCAAAAGGCAGCCAAAACAGATCACTACCTAATTAAAATATATGGGCAGCCATAAAATTGATGTTAACCCTCCACAATAGTTTGTTTTTTTTAATGCAGAAAGGAGAGCCAGGAACTGAAGTGCAACAGACCAGTTAAAAATTATGCTTCTGTAACTGCTGAACTCGCCATTCATGGTGCCAGGAAAGGAAGCATGAATGGCCTTTCTGTCTTGTCCTTGCTTCTCTTATCCATTTTAAAGGATCGACGTAACACAGATTCATAGGAGGTTTGTTTGGCATGTCCAAGGTGTCATATCAGATCTTATAATCATATTAGGTCTCACTAGTGAAGTACGCAAAGAAAAAAAATGGAACAAAAGAAGAGGCCCTACCTTATGCAACCCCTGCTCCAAACAATAGTAAAATAAAAATGATAAATACAGCTATTCAAAGCCTTTTTGACTGCCATGGCTCCTGTTGACTGCATCTGCTGGCACAGTTCGAAAGGCCCACTCAAGTGGTTCTTGGGGGGGCAAGTAGCAGCTCCTCACAGCCATTTTAGGCATGAAAACCTCACAGAAGGCTTAAACCCTTGCTCCCTGAACACCACAGTCCTGACCAGGGTTGCCAGTTCCAAGTTGGGAAATACCTGGAAATTTGGAGGGTGGACCCTGGGGAGGGTGGGGTTTGGGTAGAGACCTCTGCCGGGTATAATGCTATAGAGTCCACCCTCCAAAGCAGCCATTTTCTCCAGGGGAACTGATCATGATCGCCCGGAGATAAATTGCAATAGCAGGAGATTTCCAGGTGCCACCTGGGGGTTGGCAACTCTAGCCCTGATCCAAACTAGGCTCAAACATGCCTGGGAGTTAAATTATGACCAAACATGGAACTCCCACAGTATATCTGTTGACAGGAGTTGTGGTGGACATGTGGGAGACATGAAGAATTTGTAATGTGACTAGGCCCTCAGAAACAAGCTCCCTGTTGGCATCACTGAGACTCATTTTCTAGTAAATGTGTATTGAATGGCGTTTCTCCCTTAACCTTAGGAAAGCAAAAAAAAACCAAACCAAACCAGCATTTACCATTACAAATTGCCATTTCTGCCATGATTAAACAAAGAAAAACATGTTTAGCCATTGACTCATTTTTACTAAATTCTTATAGTGACTATAACATTGTTAATGAAACATTTTGACTAAGTAGTGAGCAAACATGGAAGTCTTCTCATGATTTTCAAAGGAAGAGATACAATCAAAATGAATAACATACCTCAGGCATGCAGAAAAAAATACTCTTTTTGTTCCAAGAGGCTCAGGTGCCTAGTATATTACTCCATGTTCCCGTGTGAAAGTCTTACATAATAGTCAGTAAATAGTAAACAATGTTGATATAAAAAATGGCATTGCATAGTCTTTGTAAACTACTGAAAACTTACTATGAATGCTTTTTGATGGTTTAAATATATTACAAAATAAGGATCCTAAATGCATTTACATGGACATAAGAACTATTGATGCCAGATAAATATGCCTAGGATGACAAATCCATTCTTATCACTGAACATCCCATATTTCACAAAGAAGAGGTGTAAACTTATGGTCATTAACTCTCCAAGACATCAGCATATCTGCATGGTGGTGATTAAAAGTCCGGAGTTCTGTAAGACGTCCCAGGAGACATGCAAAATGTTGAGGATTGTCTGTGTGATAAAGCTTGCAGAATTTTTGCAAAACTTCGAGCAGTGGCTCTTGAAGCCTCTCTACTGATTCTCTGTCCTGGATGTATTGCCGGTCTGGTTTTATATTTCAAAGAAAAAGGGAAAAAATAACAAATGTCATTTTAAATGTACAGGTGGGGAAGCTCACAGTATTCCAACTGCAGGTGAGATCCTGTGACTTCTACTACACATGCTACATTGTTCCCATGTACAGAACTGCAGAATCGGTATGAGCATCTGTAAAAACCTGCTGTAATGTAACGTGGAAATATGTTTCAGTGAAAACTATGAAACATGTACAATGCTGTCCTAAGGAGAGTTATACCCTTCTAAACCTATTGACATCAATGAACTGGATTAACTCTGATTAGGATTGCACTAATTGTGTTTTAGTGCTACAGCAACTAATATTCAAAAACAGAATTGTTGAAAGACGATATGGTCTTATCCAGCAGGGCTCTTCTTATGTTCTTATGATTTCACAGTCCTGTTTCATTTATGCACTGGGTAAAACCTGCATTTTATGAAATATATTCTGCAATGAAATTGAGGTAGCTCAAAACTCCTATTCTTGCACATGACTATCGAATTACATTTCCTTTAATTAATAAACTGCACTAGCAATTTTTTATAACCTTTTCAGATACTTTTCGGTGTCTTATCCTTCAGTCCTTCATATGATGTTCTGTTTTCTTTCTCTCACGTCATTCTATAGCAATTAACTGGGAAACTGAAATTACCTGGAGATAAGATAACTATTGCTGTGAGCAGAGCATACTCTTCTTGTCTCATCTTCAGTTCACCAACACTTTTATAGAAATTGAACATGGGGGTTATATATTCATCTGAGATACCTGTTGCAAAATATTGAGAAGTATTTAAATAAACATAATTAAAACTGTAAGTACCTCACTATGTAGTCAAGTGACTGAACAGAGAGAGTGAACAGAATAGGATTATTTATGTGGCACTTTCAAGATGAAATGTGTTTTATAAAATGTATCCTATTTAACTACAGCTTAGAGACTGTGAGTATTTTTAAGGCCACTTAAACACTGCATCCAGTCTAGTGCTCTGTCTACAAGCCCACATTGGTTCCCTACCACAGCAGGTTAATAAATACATACTCTGTCATCTCTGCCCCTCACCTAGAGTTCTGTAAACTGATTATCTAATTCCCAGCATGCCCCCTATGTGCGGATACTTATTTTCGCAGACAGGGGGCACATGGATGGTCAACAGAAATTCCTACACACTTGGGGCACACCCCAGGAGTGCAGAAAAATCTGACATGTTTAAAAATATATATATGGGGGAATACTTAATTCCCCCCCCAAAGTACAATAGCTTTCCCTGTATATGCACAGAGAACGGACTTACTGTTGTCTGCCTCTCCCTCCACTGCTTGCTGGGGTCTGTAGGAGGGCCACCACGGCCACAATCATTGCCTTGAAGGGCTGCAGACTGGCCTGGGTGGGAAGGGAAGGATTGGGGAGGTCTAGAGCAGGTAGCAGCAGTGGCGGGGCAAGGGGTTGCTCAGGCCATGTGTAGGAACAGGAGGGAGGCTATTGGCTGGCCTGGGTGGGAAGAAAGAATTGCAGAGGGTAGTGGCAGCAGCAGGGCCAGGGGTTGCCCAAGCCATGTGCAGGATCCATGGAGGGGGCGACTGCTGGTTGGCTTGGGTGGGAAGGGGAGGATTGAGGAGGGTAGCGGCAGCGGTGGGGCTGGGGGTTGCTGAGGCTGTGTGCAGGGGGGGAAGCTGCTGGCTGGCCTGGGTGGGAAGGGAAGGATTGGGGAGGTCTGGCAGGCTTCATTCCTTCCTCTCTTCCCATCTATTTGCTTCCCTCCCCTTTCTTTTCATTTCTTCTTTCCCTTTCATTCAATTCCTTTCCATTTGTTTCTTCCCCTTTCTTTCAATATCTTTCCCTTTCTTTCTTTCCCTTTCTTTCACTGCAGGGGCTTGGCATGTGGCATCGTATGTGTTCAAGAAGCTGGATAGGAAACTGTGGTGGGAAGTTCCAGGACTATCTTTTGAAACTGGGAGCTGTCCCTTATTGATGACTCTAGCCTTGGATTGGAGGAATAGAAGAGATATTTTGTATGTTTGCAAATTGAAACACAACACATTATGCAACATATTGTTGCGGGTCCCCTCTGGTTGACCAATACTTTGATATTTTCTTTCAACTCTTAATACATTTTCTAATATTGGACTATTTTGTCTTTGTTCCATATAAACACCAAATAATTTCAGAATACTCTCCCGAGTGTGTGTGTGTGTGTGTGTGTGTGAAATGCTGTCAAATCACAGCTGACTTATGGTGACCACATAGGGTTTTCAAGGAAAGAGATGTTCAAAAGTGGTTTGCCATTGCTTATCAAAAGCACCATTGAGCCAGCAACATACTTGACCAGTGGAGGGAAAGAATTCTAGAAGGGCATTTGCCCTAGCTAGATGTTCTGCCTTTCCATCTGCGGTTATTCAAGGCAGGTACAATTAAAAAAAAAAACCTACTCTGAAAGGCTATGCCTATGCCAGGGGTCATTTTGTAGAAAAAGAGGTGCAGGAGCTCATTAGCATAACTCATTTGCATAACTTATTTGCATATGCCACACACCCCGACATCACCGGAAGTGTGTCAGAAGGCAACACCCACCGCTCAGACTCCACTGGACTGTTTTGGATTGCTAGCTATTGGGGGGGGGGGGAATGTGCAGATCTGTCCTTGCAGAGGAGGGAGAGCTTGTACCTGAATAAAACTTGGTCTTAAAGGTGCCACTGGACTGTTTTGGACTGGGGGGCCGGGGGGAGCTCTGCAACTTACCTGGCTGCTTCTTGCTCTGACTGAGGGCTGCTGGGAGCAGGGGGTGGGGCTTGTTGCATGTGCCCGCCCCTTGGGCTCTTTACTGCCGGAGCTCCACTCCTGTGCACTCCTGCAGGAAATGACCCCTGTCTATGCCCCTTAAGCAAGGTCAAATCAGTAGAGCATATGTTCTTCAGTTGCTGTCATGCCTGCCCCTGCTGATGTCATGCCTGCCCTTGCTAATGCCCCTGAGGAGGCACCTGCCAGCCAGGAGCCTGTGGACTTACAGGCTCCTGAGGACAGTACTGCAGCAGAAAGGCAAAGACTGGATCCTGTAGCTGAAAGCTATCTAAGTGGTGAGGAGGATAGAGCCTCCCAGGGAACACCTGCAAGGGATCAGTCTCTGCTGCATACCAGTAATTCATCATCAGACTAACCACCACCTGTAACCAGGCTCAGGAATGTACGGAGACAGCAGCTGAGAAAGCGAAGACAGAATGCACGCATGCATGCCAGAAGATCTCTTAGCCCTGAATATTGACAGGATCCTGACCTCGCTCCCGGCTAGCTAATGAGTTGATTAGCTAGCACTGTATATCTGCAAGTCTGTTGCCAGCAGTCATTTGTGCTGGCAAACGTCGTTTGTCAGGACCTGAATCCTTGCATCTCTGCTCCAGACCTTGTGGAATTATTATTGGCTTGATCCTTGGCTTTTGACCCTCGGCTTCGTTGACTCTGCGTTCATCTCTGACTCCTCTGGTATCGTTGTGATTTATGGACTTGAAACTCTGGTATGTCTGACCCTGCTTTTGGACTGTGATTTAAACCTGTTTGAACCTCGTTGCCTGATTTGCTCGGCTTGACCTCGGACTGCTTCTGGACTTTTGCTGGCTTGCGTCACACCCTCTGGTCCTGCCGTGACAGTTGCCCATTTTACAGGGAGTTGCCATTGCCTTCCTCTGCATAGTGACCTTGGAACTCCTTGGTGATCTTCCATCAAAATACTAATCAGGGCTTGGGACTGGTTGCAGATTTAAAAGTGGATTTTTTTCAAGGTGAGATGGATGTGATCTATAGGTCATATTCAGAATACATAAAGAAAAATAATCTGCCCAGTGAGGTGGTGGTTAGATTCTCCCGAAGACATGTGAGGAATCAGATATTAAAAGCAACAAATGGAGCTACCCTTAAAATTGATGGCAAGGAAATAAGAGTTCTGAAAGACATTCCCTTTGAAATAAGGGGGGAAAGGAAGAAATACAGAGACCTGGCTCTGTTTCTACAAAAGAATTCCTACAAATGGATTGTACCTGAAGTCATACTTTTTAAATTTAAAGACAAGAGGGGGGAAATTGACTTTGTTATGAAAGCACGTGAGTTCTTGCAGCAACAACTGGCTCCAACAGGGGAAGAGGATGAGAAGAGCAACAAGGGGAGTGATGATGAAACACTTACTGGAGAAGACTCAGATTCGGAACATGGGGCGGCTGCCCCCAAGCAAGGATATCAATTGAGGGACAGAAGAGGCAAATGAGATACCAATTTTCTCTGAAGTTTGGCCTTGCTTCTTAATATTTAAACACTCTTTCTTTTGTTTTTTTACTAAGTCAGAATACCTGGACTTGGAATTTTTTAATCGACTTTAACAATCACCTTCAATGTAATAAATTAATCTTTTTTACTTACTTTATTGTAATCATTATATGACCACCACCTCTTGGGTTTTTAGTGGTTTATCTTTACTTTCTCCTGTAGTTTATAGTTTCCCTTTCCTTATTTTCTTGTAGTTTTGAAAACTAAACAAATTTTAAAAAAATACTAACCAGGGCTGAGCCTGTGTAGCTTCCAAGATCTGATGAGATCAAGCTAGCCTGAGCCATCAAGGTCAAGTCCTGAATATAGTTCTGTATAAATCTAACTCTCCAAGTTGAAATTAAATACCTATAGGTTATTTTAAGCCTGCCAATGAGCAAAGATAACATAACTATTAATTGTGGAACTCCATACTTTGGGAGGTCCCTCTTGCTCTATCATTGTTAATTTTCAGGTGCCAAGTGAAGGAGAGCCTTTGGGTCTCATTTAGTGTTCTTAGTTATAAACTGGACGTGTGTGGATGATTCATGTTAATGTTCTTGATTGGTTTTCTTTTAACGTGTGATTTTTATGAGTATTGTTGGTTTTAATGTATTTTTGTTGGCTGCCTTGTGGATCAATAAATGGGAAGACAGGATACAAATATTTGTATCAAAAACTAGGAGCCAAAGATGTACTCTAAACACAGACCTAAGCACTTTATGCGCATCTAAGTTACTTACAGTTCAGAGTTACACCCTTCTAAATCTATTAAAGCCAATGGGCTTAGAAAGATTGTAGTGTTAATTAAATTGATTGGCAGTAGATTCAGTACTTACAGTGGATAATTAAAGGTGGCTTTTACAGGGGCTTAGACAAATTAACAGAAACTATTTAAAATTAGCCTTGTCAACACGCAGAAGCCCTGTTCACAAGTTAAAGCACGTGAACACACGTACATCCATGTAGAGTGTACACATGATTATTTTTTATATCTGTGTTGAGTAATTCTCATGTTACAGTGAATGCATGTTAGCTGAATGTGTGATTGAAACCACAACTTTATCCACGTACTGATCCTCAGTTTCATTTGTAAAGTGTATGTATTTTGGCTTTTTCTTACAAACAGATATATGTATGTATTTACACGATGTATGTGTGTACACTGTAATACGAACAGGGCTTTTATGTCGTTAATATCAGAATCAGGCTACAGTTCCCTTACAGTAGGAAAATCTACATGCAGCACTGAACTACTTATTTCCAAATGGTCAAAAGTTTACTAGAGTTTCAGGTGAACCTTTGGCCATGTGCACTACTATGTCATAATACCGTGTTACTCGGGATGGTGCAGAAGGGCTGGTACCATTTACTAAAGATGGAGCTGGATCAACCTGCTTCTTTAAGCACCCTCTGCCTCAAAATACCAGCTCATAATATTCTGACATTTCTTTCAACATCCACCCACTTAGATGCAG